GGGGGGGGGTCGCGGCGGGCGCGCGCGCCGGGCGGGCTCAGCTCCAGATGCGGAAGGTGCAGTCCGTCGACGTGGAGACGAGGAGCGTGTCCGCGGGGTCGAAGGCGACGCACTGGACGGCGTCCTCGTGGCCGCGGCCGCTCCAGCACTGCTGGCTCAGGTCCTCGGTGGAGTAGCCCCGCAGCAGGCCGTCGTCGGAGGCGCAGACGATGCGCGTCGCGGACCGGTCGAAGCCGACCTTGTTGCACGGGTGCTGGCTGACCTGGATCGTGCCGATCTCCGTGACCGTGCGCACGTCCCAGAGCTTGATGGCCCCGTCGGCGTCGCAGGACGCGATGACGTCGCCCCGGTTGTTGATGGCGACGGAGTTGCACGCCTGGGCAGGACAAGAGTGCGAAATTTCCAACTTCAAAGGCTCCTCTCTCGGCCGGTTTCCACTCGTTTCGGCTGATTTTTGGACGAGCGATCATCTCTCGGAACGGTCTCGAAGCGTGGATGCTTTTTCTAGAACGCGCGCGCGCGGAACACTCACGTTGAAGCGACGTTGAATCACCCTTGTCCTGCCCCGTTGCACGCGTTCGTGTGGCCGTAGAACGTCTGGACGCAGAGCGCGGACCGCGCGTCCCAGATGGACACGGTCTTGTCGCCGGAGGCCGTGCAGATGTTGTTCGAGTAGGGCTGCCAGCAGCACGAGTTGACGCTGTCGACGTGGCCCCGGAACGTCATGCGGCAGCGGAGCGAGCTCAGGTCCCAGAGCCGCGTCGTGTGGTCCATGGAGCAGGACGCCAAAAAGTCGCCCGTGTGGTGGAAGGCGCAGTCCCAGACGGCCTGCGTGTGGTCCGTGAACGTCGTCGCGCAGGACGCGCCCGCGAAGTCCCAGACCTTGACCGTCTTGTCGCCCGACGACGTCGCGAGGTGCGTGCCCGCGGGGTGGAAGTCGACGCCCGCGACCCAGTCCCGGTGGCCCTCGCCGGACATGACGAGGTCGCAGTTCGGCACGCTCCAGAGCTTCCAGGTCATGTCGTCGGACACCGTCGCTAAAATGGGCTTGTGCGGGTGGAACGCGGCCGCGGCGACGCTGTTGAGGGGATCCTCAG